TGAACATTTGGGTGGCATTATGCAAATATTTCCATATAGTGTGGTAGATATGTGGGGGCGTGTTAGAATGAGCCGTTTTAGGGGGGCGTGGCAGAGTCTTAACTTTGATAAAGAATATCTCTTTGGTTTTGAGACTTTAGTCTTTGCAACTTCAGGGATCTTATCTATGCACAATCAGCTTGTAACACTCCAAAGAGAAAGGAAAACTTGAAATCGCATCATATGACCCCTTTAATGGTAATCCACCGGTAATTTACCAGTAAAGACTTTATGTGTGAAAGGGGCTAATAGCTTTGCGGGAAGATCGCAGATTCTACCCAAACTAAAATATTTCGGCATCCATCTAAAAAGCTCTGTGACCAGTAGGGCTGTCAAAATGGCTGAAAAACTCAATTCGAATTTTGTGCTTAAATATTATCAAAATTCGAATTATATTCGAATTTAAAATGCATAATTTCAGTTAGGGTAAATACAAGCTTTTGGCCTTTCTCCTGAGGCCACAAGAGGGCGCATCGAGCATAAGATAACATGAACATCTGTGAAAAAAAGTGCATAATGTTTAAAATAATGCTTATAAACCAATTATAATTAATTAAGTTGCTTAAACAACTATAAACAAAACAGCATCATAGATCTTCTCCGCATTGATGTTCTTTTCCCGCAATATTTGTAATCAACAACGCAGCAGCGCTGCATCTAGTGGCTTCAACTGGATAGGCTAACAAAAACATTAAAATGTAATGACACTTACATAGTCATCGCATCTCGTGCGCCACTGATAAGGCAGCCTCCTTAACGCACACCTAAAATTCACCTAGAATGTGGACTTTTATTTTAAATTCGACGAATATTCGAAATTCGGAAAAAATTTTGACAGCCCTAATGACCAGAGACATATTAAAATGCAGATAAATCAACTTTCAGTGCAAGGCTTATCGCCTACCATTGTCAATTCCGCTCATTCCTGTTGAGTGTCCTCAATCTGGCAACTCGTGTGAGCGTCAAGTTTGAGGAGAAGGGGGCAGGAGAAACAACTCTCTCATGTATTTCGAATGTGGACAGCAGTACTCATTTTAATCGCTAGCTGTCATATTACATACTGCACCTTTAATATTAACAGGAATGTTGGGGCACTTACCAGCTGGTGGCACCTTAGGCAACCACCTAGGCTGTCTATGCCTAGAAACAGCTCTGATCTCTAGGTAAAACATCCAATCACTTTGCAATTTCACTTCAGAATAATACCACAAAACTGCTCATAGGGTGCATGGACCTGAACACTGGTTGGGCCTAGTGGATGCATTCAAAATAATACATAGCAGTGTAAAGGTGAATATAATTTGTGCAACTGCATTTTGTCTCAAGAACTAGGTCAACTGCAGATGATTTAAAAGATTATGCAGGGTTTAGTATGCAAAATTTTCCCTCACTATATCTTCAGTACGATCTTTATGACCTATATGTAAAATGTCTAATTTGAACACAAGCCATTCGATTCTGCATCTGACACTTCAAACTACAGGAAGGCCTAAATCAGATCAAAACAAAAATGACATTATATTAAAAATGCTTAAATTTAATCTATACTATTTTAATTCCATACTATTTTATCTAAATAAAATAAAATGGATTAATGAATCATAAAATAGTAATAATAAATTTAATTAATTGAATACTAATCAAATAAATAAGTAATCGATACCAATAAATCAATCGTTAACATCTATAACTGACATGGTACTGATATATTGTGCACCATTAGATCACATAATTCTGAAAATGCTTCTGCCTAACATAAATTCAAAAACTATGCAAACAAGCACACCACACTAGGGCTGCACGATTAATCGAATGCTATTGTCATACGCATTTTGATAGTAATGCCGGTTCTGTAATCAGCAGGAAATCATCATCACGTGCTTTCAGATGGAGCAGAATTGACTACACATAGCCTTAGTTCACTGACAAGTTACGCAAAAAAAAATCGCAGACGATTTTATTGCGCGATTCTGAAATCGAAGAAATCTGGCCTTTGGATTGAGATTTACTGCTGATCACAGAACCGTGCTTCACTGAACGATACGCATGACAATCGCAGCTTCTGTCGAATCGCGATCTCCATTCCATTTCGATTTATCGTGCAGCCCTAGACTTTCAAAAAGTGATGCATACATGGCACATTTCAGTCTGTGGCAGAGTATCTGAGCAGCAGAGTGTGTTTGGAGTGCACATGGATGGCAGAAAACACCTCAGGCTAAATCGCTTGACTGGACTGATGATTTCCACCAGCTCTCCAGACAGATCTCCCTCTCAAAGGCCAGCTGAGCTAACAGGGAATGTCAGTCAGCAGGGGAGAGAAGGGGAGGGGGGCGCTTTGTCTCTAGAAATCAGGTTTCTTCTTACAAATTCACTCCATGCAGGCTCTTGCCAGAGTCTATTGGACAGGTAGTCCAATGGTGTTAAATTACATCAGCAGCGTCCAGACCCAGCCCCCATTGACTGAGATATCCATCAGCACTATAGAGACTGAATCAGCGAGAGCATGAGAACATTTTGATTATGACAGATAGGTATGTAATATACTTTTTCAGCTGTGCTCAAAGTAAACCTGCATTCCATCTCATGCTATGCTTACATTTTTTGGACTTCTCAGTCATCTTGTGTTTACTTTCGCTCCATTTCTGTGTCCAACAGCCAGGAAAAAACAGAAAGCACTGTTGATTTTGTGCGAAACCGTAACGACACATTTCATTTATCACACATTTACAAGCACACATCCATACATTTATTTCTGCATTAATATAGCCTTAACACTAATAGTGATTCAGTGGGACAATACAGGCTATAAAGGGCCTTGACCCTATGCATCTGTTCTACTGGATATAAGTTCTGCAGGCTGGGACTCAAAGGGATTCCTGACCCCAGTGCGATCCCTGCTCCAGAATGACAACAAATCAGACCCTGATAGGCACCAGTGCAACCTTATGACCTACAGCTGCACTTGTAAATAATACAAACCACTACAAAGTAAGGTAAAATGTGCCTTAATTTAACCACCTGTGCTTCCGGTTACTCAAAAATATCCTGGACAAACTCAGCGGTAATACAGTTGTTGTTTTTTTTGGATATGGATTTATGATATAACACAGGACATTATAGAAGCCAATTTCTGACTCAAGAGTAAAAAAAACTAACAATTAAAAATAATTGTTGCTTTATATATTAAAAGGTGCTTAAATTGTGTAACTGTGACCTCTTTATTTGATTTATACACAAAGTACCATTCAGGTATATAATACTTTTATTCAGATAGGATGCATTAAATTGACTAAAAGTGACTTTTATAAAGTTACAAAAATTATATTTCAAATAAATGCTGTTATTTTGAACTTTCAACTAAAAGAATCCTGGGAAAATGTATTTAATAACTGCAACTTTATTTCTCACAGTTATGACTATTTACAGTTATGTATATCTCACTTTACTGCAACTTTATTTCTTATAAATTTGACTATTACTTATGACTTTATATCTTATAATTATGAACTTTTATCTCGCAATGCAAACATTTCATGTAACTGTGACTTTGTTTTTCTAATTGCAACTTTATGTCTCATAATTTCAACTGTGTATCTTACAGTGGTGCGGTGTTACATAAATCTCCATTTCTCATTATTATTAGTAGTAGTATTGTATCTTACAATGTGACTTATTTTAAACTTTAAAACAATTCCTTTTTTATTTTTTTTATTCTAAGAAAACTTTGAAATCTTTGTGACAAGACATTTGAGATCCAATAGCTCTGAAATTCAAGCGACCAAAGTGTCATATTTCATACAGGACATTGTAATAGTGGATTAATGCATACAAACCATAGGCCTACTCATGATTCAGTAAGTGAACACCTACTTGCATAGTCATCTGATCCCAGTGCTTTTGTGCATTTAGTCGTTTAGCCTATTAATGCATTTCTGCCATGACCATCGCACATTATTATGACGCATAATGATAATGGCCATCCACACGTACCCGTTACCTTTAGCCATACTAAGGAAGCTCTTATGCTGCATTAGCTAACAAGCATTTAATCACTTCTGTATGGAATTTAATCCGCTTTATACATGCATTTCGTGTTTATGAGCTGCTCTGAGCTGGTGAGATGGACACATCTCCACGAAGCTCCGCGTCTGCGGGCCTTGCGCAGAAAATAACATTCCCACTGCAGCCCTACCGCTTGTGTTTACGCGTTCAGACCATGTACTAGTTTGAAGCGGCTTAACGACGGCCGAACGTGTTCGTATCTTGTGCTATCGACACCTAAAAGCGTCCCGAAATCGAGCAAAACGCACTGAAGTCCCATCGCTTCACCACACCTAGCAACAGCGCCGCTGCGACGCAGGAAGTGAGTGTGACTGTGGAGCGCGCGAGCCGGCCATTGCTGCTGCGCGCTGCAGCGGCACAGATTGTGCTTCCGCGAGCGCACTTACCGATGTGCTTATCCTCGATGTGCACGATGAGCTCGGCCAGCGACTCGAAGTGCAGTCCGCAGCCCCCGAACTGGCAAATGTTGGAGAAGAAGGAGGCAGCGGCGATGCCTGTCATGGTCTTTGCTACATTGAGGAGCAGCAGCACGACGCGAGCGGAAAGGAGATCGCGCGCACGCACGCACCGTCAGACAGACAGACAGTGGCGGCAGCAGCTGGAGCAGCGCAGCACGAGAGAGAAAGAGAGGAGGGCCCAACGCGTCATACCTGTTGATGTGAAATACCACACACTAGTCCTGCATCATAAGCCATTGTGCGTGTCTTCATGGGTGATTCTTCACTTGAAATCTTAAAAAAAAGAATACTTCCTCAAAATATGTTAAAACATAAAATATTACTAAATGGATAATCATGGCTTTGATACACTGCTATAGCCTACATCTTTCAAGTGGTATAATAGCCTATATGTGACCCTGGACCACAAAACCAGTCAGCATTTATAGCAATAGCCAACAATATATTGTATGGGTCAAAAATGATCGATTTTTCTTTTATGCTAAAAATCATTGCTAAGAACTTCATTTAGACAAGTTTCTAAATATTTGGATTTTTTTGCACCCTCAGATTCCAGATTTTCAAATAGCCTAGTTGTATGCCAAATATTGTCCTATCCTAACAAATCGGAAATACATCAATGGAAAGCTTATCTATTCAGCTTTTATTCATGTATAAATCTTAATTTAAAAAAACTGACCCTTATGACTGGTTTTGTGGTCCAGGGTCACATATGATATATTGATTTGTAACATTTTTATACATTTATCATAAAGGTATCAAAAACGCTGTAAGTAGAAAGAGCCATAATCTGAGAAATTCTGATTTTAACACGAATAATTTCAACACTCTTAAAAATGAGCAATTAAAGAAAAACAGTAAAAAAGCTTATATAACTTATATAATATATGTAATTAATTTTTTTTATAAATTAATAAGCTTATATATAAATTATATAGCCTAATTTATCCTTAAAACTAGAATAATTGTTCTTTTTTATTATAGTAATTAAAAAAGGTTAAACTTTTTATTATAGTAAATTTAGTTTATTAGAGTAATTTTCTATCTCTGTAGGGGATAAAAAAAAGTTCCCCAACTGAACCGAAACTTTCAGAATCTCTATTATTCGTAATGTGGCCACATTTTTATTTTAATTTTTTTTACAAATTCATCTTTATATGACTTAGTTTTTATATGTGGTTGGTTTGACAGCGTGGATTTTTTGTTTGCAAAGCGTGAAACCGACTTTGCTTGTGTTTTGCAAATACAGACAAACAAACAATAAATAAATATTCTGTGGTTGGTCGAGGTATTTTAACATGGTCAGACTGAAAATGTCTGGCATGTGTTTCTCATTAACAAACGTAATAAAAAAAAGTTAGTGTAAAATGTTAAATAACTGTTCACAGGAAGTAGATGCAGTGCAGTAGAAATCCACAGGGTGGCAGTGTGGAATTACAAACAAATACTCCTCTCTACAGCTAGGACATTTTAGATTCGTATAAACAACCTCTTAATAAACATTGTAATATCACAGTACCAAATCATGGTGGCCCCAGAGTACTTTTTGGGTAACACTTTATACACTTTAAGTGGGTTATATTTTATTTTAAGGTGTCTTTGTTCCAGTGTAATTATACATTTAAGTACCGAGTAATATTAATGAACTTCATGTACTTACTATATGGTTAGGGATAGGATTAGGGTTTGGTTTAGGGTTACTTGCATGTAATTATGCATAATTTATTGTTATTATAATAGTAAGAAGGCTACATGTAACATGGAACAAGGACACCTTAAAATAAAGTGTTGCCCTTTTTTGTTAATAATAATAAAATAAAATTATTAAACAAAATAAAATTAAAATAGGCCTAAATAAACTTTAAAAAAAAAAATAAATAAAAAACGTATAAGACATGTTAAATGCTGCTTCTAAACTAGCTTCTTTTTTTGTGATTAATGTTTAGAATAGAAGGTGGTCCACATATACAGATCTGTATTCAAATCATATAATTTTATAAATTACAACTTGAATGATTTTGAGCTTCAGTATTATCATAAAGCTCCTAAGGTTGCTCCTAAAGCCCCTAAAACCAACATCACTGTTGGTTTGTATGATCAAGCTCAAGTATTCCCCCATTTGGCATGTTTGCATGGTCTGCATACAGTATGTTCAATCTACTATACGTTTAGCCACAAATAAATGGACTTCTAGAGGCAGAAAGGCTATAAATGGCCGTGTGGTCACACAGATGACTTGATCACTGTAGCGTTTCTCTGTCACTAATAGAAAGCTCCAGTGGTGTGGACTACATTATGGCTGTTTTCTTTCCTTTTGCTCGCGTTCACATCCATGTGCTTCATCCCACTCTCCCGCTCTCTCGCCGCCTCTGTTTTTCCATGATTTCCTGTTCACGTTTGTTGGCAGAGGTTGTTGGTGCTGGTGTTGTGCCCGGTACTGTGTAATGGGGACCTTGATGGGTTGGGCCCCATTTACTCACCACAGCCGAGTGCAGCATGGGCAGCTGTGCACCCTGATCGGCCTGCTTTTTCCAGCAGCGCTGGAGCACGCTGTGGGACATGTCTGTGAAAGCATTACATCATTGACTCGCTCTGTTTTGAGGCTCTCCAGAGCTTACGGCCTTCAATTTTGCTTTCAATTCTGTTACCCTTCAGATTTTTACAAATAGACAAATTTGTCGACCTGAGACTTTGCGTTTGTTGATGAGATTCAGATCCTTTTGCTTAAGGCCACATTTTCGGGGAAAAGTTGAATTTTTAATATCTCGGAAACCAGTAAATCAGTAGTTTTAAATTGTATTTATCTTTGGTGCATATGATGTCAACAGGAAGTAGATGGCTTAAAATTGCAAATGGTATAAAGTGTATAGTATCATATTTCATACATGAAATTTTAAGGACTCTAAATTATCAACATGATCAAAACTTCGCCTTAAAACTTATTGTGCACAATCTACTAAATGCCTTTTGTCATCTGATTGACAGTTTATACGTTTTTAGCAAGTAAAAGGTTGTTTAGTATAATTCCAACAACATCCCACTTCAGGTCATGGTACAAGTGTTTTTTTTGCTGTGAAATTTACAACCAATTTGATAAAGTAAACATAATACATTTTGTACTCTTAGTAATATTTCATGATGAACACTTACTGGACTGAAGGGACAAGGTTTACTTGATTATCCATACATAATTTTTTGATTTACACTACAGTATCAAAAACTGCACTGTACTGTATAAGCCATAAAAGCCTGATATATCAAATATGATGCAAAACAAATAAATATGTACACTTTTTATATATATATTGTGTGTGTGTGTATAGATAGATAGATAGATAGATAGATAGATAGATTCAAAAAACAAGATTTTGACTATTATTTCATATGTCAGGTTTTTTACAGGCAAGTTAAAAGCTGCCTCATCCCTTACTAATTATATGAGTAGCGATCAACTTCTTCATTTACTGCTGTTCTATTTACCATATTGTCTTAAATCTGGTTCAAGACCACACAAATAGCAGCTATTCTGTGATGACTGATAGGGTAAAGACACTTGCATTGAATATTTTGGTATTTCAAAGGTCCGCAAAGTGCAATTTGGTCTCCTAATGTTACCAAACGTAAAACCCCAGACCCCATTACGGAAGCAAATGACAATGTTCAGACGCATAACTATTACAAATACTGGCCTTCCCTCGTTGGCAGCGGAAAATGCAGAATTCAGACGCACATGGCATCGTGCCCTCACCGCTGCAGTCATACTGTAGAAACTACTCAGAAATGCTGTCCTTCATTATGTAATGGCTGCATTGTTCACTTCAAATGGTTCCCGTGCACATTTAGTTGGTAATAGCATTATAATGTGCTGTGTGGTTTTTAAACGCTTGAGCGTGGTGCAGTGGTAGGCCTGTTACAGTATTTGTCAAAAGGTTGCCAAGTTTTGAAATCACATGCAAGTCCTCAGGTTTTTGGTTGTATTTTACTTGATTGGTAAATATAATATAAATTAGTATGGGCTTTTCAAACTGCTCTTAAGCCCAGGTTATCGTCTTTTAGACCCACTTTAAATACTCCGGGAAAGCTTTCACGCTTGTAATTTTGGAGAACAGGGTTAGCGCTTTTTGTTGTTGTTATTGTCTTCCTTCTTTGTTTTAGAATGTAAGGGCCACCTGTTCAGCAAGAAACAACCAATCATAAACAGACCCTTATTAAATATTCATGCGCTTCACAGTTACAGAAACATTAACACAATGTATTTTTTTGTACATTTTGAGGGAAAATGTGTTAATTGGAATGAAGAACAGACTTTAAATTTTACAGTTATGGTCCAAAAAGTCTGTTTAGGACAAACGGTACAGTCAGGAATGAGCCCAAAAGATTTATAAGATCAAGATAAGAAGTGATTTAAAGTCAGGATGTAATGGAAGTAGACAGATCTTTTCTATATTTTTTCTGTATTGTGACATACATCTGAGTCAAACGGATTATTGAAAAAAGAAAAATTGACCATTTTTACTGGACGATCCAGTTATGACATTCTGATTAAAGATTTTAAAGAATGAATACATTAAAAAAAACATTCAAATTCTGATCTATGACATTCATTTAGAAAATAGATAGTGTGAATTTTCATTTCTTGTCGACTTTATACAGTTTGTGTTTGTTCAATTATTGATATTGACATCACCAATATGCAAATGAGAACCTTAATTTCCATTTTCTTTAAAAATGTAAAGTGTGAAACTTAATACCCGATCAGTGAAATCCATAATGTCTTGGGGTTATTTATTTATTTATTTTATGTGAAAAGATCTGGCTCCAAAATCCAGACGACCTCTTACCTGCTTGTTAAGTCTGACGTCACGTGTCACCGCTTCCGTGTCCAGATCAAGCACTTTTGTCATGGTCTATGATTTTCAAACACAATTGTTCTCCAACTAATTACTTTTCTTTGGAATAATAAGAATATCTGTTATAAACATAAGTCCCTATTTTTTGAAAACTGGTTTAAGAATGGTATCAATCGGGTTAGTCAATTATTTAATCAGAATGGTTACTTGTTTACTTATCAAGAATTTCTTTCTCACTATAAGTTTCCTGTTACTCTAA